ATAAGTATTTTGCCGGCACTTCGAAAATAAAAAGATTTAGAGGATAAATTGGCGATTGCAGTTGCTGTTACAAGGTATTCTCGAAAAAATAACGCTAGTAATTCGAATTTAATTCCAATTTTTCAAAGTTTGATCTCTAAATTACCTGTACGAATTGTATTTACGTTGATACTGACGTTGACGTCGACTTGCTAGATTCATTTTTGCAAGCAGTAAGTAATGTAAATTGAAAAATTTCAATAAATGCTACAGAAAGATCCGTGGCTGAGCTACTGCACTCGTTGATTTTATAAGTATACAAACGAAATATTTACTTGTCGGCGGCTGATTCTTTACAACACTAATTGCAAAGTTCGTTTCCCAAACTTTGGAATAAAGGAGAAATAATGAAAGAAATTAGAATAAGAGTCACTCTGTTGCTCGAGGGATCGAAATCGTTTGATTTGTTGTTATTGAAAGAGGGAGAGCCTGTCAGGTTTCTCCTGTGGTACCTCTTTGGACTACGTCAAATTCCTCGCTAAAGTCGTTGTCTTTTTCCCCCCAAAAAAAATCCAAATTATGCAAACTTTCTTCCGTGTATTATAAAGTTATTACTTCAAAACAAAAAGGGTAGGGGGATGATCTTGGTGGCAGCAAACCGAATGCGCCTGAAGTCAGGCTGTAGTGTGTGATTAAGTGCGAACTCTGGGATATTGGATGGTCCAGGTTAGAGAGAGAAGAGAGGTGAAAGGGTGTAGAGCAGAAAACTCAGAGGAGGAAGAGGAGGTGCACAGCATTTTAAAATTTTTGCTGCGGTTTCAAAGGAAGGAGATATTTGTGGGAAGAGAGAAGAAGGCTAATTATGATACACTGGAAAAATCAGTGGATAACCATTACGGTGATTACACTATCACCGGTGTGATATAGCTGTTCATGTTGTTGTTATTGACGATGACAATGATGATAAAGAGCCTTTGCACTGTTTTTGAAAGTTTCTTTTTTTCTGAAATCGTTTTTTTCCCTTCTGCTTCTGTTTCTTCCTCTTCTCGCTTCCAAATTATTTCTTCAACTTCAATCATCAAAACAAATCGATGGGCGGTAACAACTTTGTTGAACATTTCTGACAGTTAGAAGAGAAAAGTCTTATTCACTTCATCCTTCCTCTCCTTCCCTCATCCTCTACCAATTCTTTAGACTACTTGTGGGAAAAGGTACATCTAGACAGATTCATCATACAGTTGCCCGAGATTTTTAGTCACTATGCATTTTTACAGTTTTCATCCAGTCCGATTTATCCTACCTTTCCTGTTTCCAGTCCATAGTATTCAAATCCTTGCGCCTTGTCGCGGTTCAGACCACCATATTCCACAATTTATTGATCGTATTATTTATTTGCAACAGCTTACTTCCATCACTTTTTGTTATTTTCAACCAAACCTTTCGCCCCCACAGCTATTCGTTAAGCTCAGAAGCCGAGACGATAGCTTCAACCCTCTGCTATTTTCTGCTACTGCATTTCAGCAATAATCTCAACCTCAATGGTCTATGCGACGCCTCATTTCAGAACATTTTAGAAAATGTTCAATGCTGTCTGTCTTATTCACAAGAAAGCTATCCTACATCTATTTGCATAAATTCTCTTTGCGATCATACAGACTTTAGAACTTCAAAAATACAACTAAATTCAGGTTTTAGTGAGGGAATTTCGCACAATTTAGTGGTTGAAATCTCCGTACTCTATCATAATGTAAAAAGAACCATACAAATAAGCTAATTGACTGTTATTATCTCGTCCAATTTCATGAAAGGTAATAGAAACAACGTGTTTCTATTCAGTTCTTTTTTTTTCAAAGTGAGCATTTTTATTGTCGTGTATGGCTCTCTTAGCAGCACCAACAATGATTTGACTGTCTTCAGACAAACCGGTTATTCTTACAAATCATTCGGAACACATTTCAGAGAAACAGTTTATGATTTAACTGATCTTGGATTGGTTTCAAGAAACAACATATTTTTAATGCTCAAATTTCCGGAAATCATGTCAGTAGGGGAGCAAAGTAAAATTGTAAAATCATCGGTGTAATACTGAAATCAATACCACTTAGGATATATTGAGATAGGTCGTTGAAGCATTCGAATGTTTACAAAATGTTCGCAAAGTGAACAGTTGACTCATCCGACGGAATGATTTACGTACGTCAGTTCGTTACGTAATATATTGTAGAGTCTGAGCTATGAATTAGTAGTGATGATTCTTTAAAAAAAAGGCTGCCCCGGCTGATGTTTTTTAAAAAAAGCTCATGTTTGTGAGAAAATAGTGATGGAAAAAAAATGAAACTTATCGCTGAAACTAGCTTACTCCTCTCGTTGAAATTCCCATTAAGATATATAAGTGGTTATATATCTTTAAATTTCGGAAATATTTCAAATGCCAAAATAAGATAAGTGATGGATAAGGATGAAATGCATTTTTATGACATTTAAAATTTCCCAGTTATTTTCAACACTTCTATAATTTTAACGTTTTTCAATATGGTTAAACTCTTAATTTATGTAAAATTATATATGAATAAAAAATTTAAGCGTAGATAATTTATCTTTTAAGAATTCAATAACGATAATTTACAATCGAAAATCCAATATAATATCACACATCAAAGAACGCCATGACAAAGCTACTTACGACAGATGAACGGAAGAGAAACGGAAATGGGAAAGGTGCAGGATTGCTCCTTTCTTGGAAAACGGTTTACCATTTTTTCTTCCTTCCTTCACAACACATTCTTCTGGAATCTGAATCCATAGGACATACCATAAAAGCACAAATTATGCACTAAAACATCCTTTTATTCTTATCTTTTTGTACTTTAAATGCTAATTGCTTGTAGAATTGATTTAAGAAAACAATGAATATGAGATGATACATTTACTACATCTTTTATAAGAATTATTAAAGCATATTTATTGCAAAAATTTTTTGCCGTCGAAATTATTAAAAAGATTTGGTAGTTATTTTTAAAGAACTAATAGGGATGTAAGGAAATTTTCACTTCTCAAAATTACTATTGGAAACTTTGAGTTTTTTTTGTTCTGTTTTTCAAAGGATGTCACATTTTTAATACCAACAAACAATTTTCAGGGACTCGAGAAATAATCCATAATTATTGTAATTTAAAAAATACACCATTGGTACACTTTGGGTTACAGCGAGTCATACCTAAAATTCATTTCTAAGGCAATCTAAATTGTGCTTTGAAGTATTTCCATGAATTCGAGTCAGATATCCTGCATATATTGAACTGATCACATGACCAGTTCAATATGTCTTGCTTGTTTTCCGAAGAGGTACAATATCCCGTGGTTCAGAATAAAACATTTTGATCAGTGAGCCATAGCAAGATAGAGCAAGTTTTAAGATTAGCTCATGAGCTAATCTTAAAACTTGCTCTATCTTGAGCAAATTTTGTCGGATCCTTTCTGCCGTTTGATGATCTTTTCTCCCATTCATTCAAAAAGTCCGATCTAATTGTTGTCCGAAACGAATCAGAGAAAGATGGAGATCATATTGAAGGTTTAATAGATGATACCAACAAAATTTGATAAACAAATTTAAGGAAGTAATGGAAGGTCGAGTGACGGAGATGGGAATCCAGAAAAGCGATTCAATTACGGGAATTTCAAGTTAGGAATTATGGCACTTGTTAAGGAAAAAAAAAACTCTAAATCTTTAATTCAACGTGAGGTATGCAATTTGAGAAATAAAAATTTCCTTGCACTCTTTGCCATTCCTGAGAAAGCATCAGTCAAGCAGCTCATAACTTTTTAGCAGTCAACTGTTGGACTGATTTTATGCCAGGAAATTTTATATGATTTCAGAAAATCGATCATATCTTCATAAATGGTTATCGCGCAAATGGCTACTAGCTATCAATTTGAAGCGCAATCATCAATTGGAAGTTCTTATAAATCGTACAAATCTGTATGCAACCATTAGTTTCACCCTCGCTCAACTGATTCTAGTTGAAGTTCTTCCTGTCATATTTGATCTGATTTCTTTTTTGATTTAAAGCATGTCACCATCATGACTCAGTTCTACCTGTCGTCTAAAATTCAGTGATCTGCCTTATAATTTTATGGATATATGAAATATTAGCTTTTCAGATATTAATAGACCATTTCCATAAACATTACAAACTCATTTTTATTCGCAAAAATATTTATAATCGGGAAGTGAAGAACATTTATCTGCTCATATCATGTTTTAAAGACTTGTCGTTAGTGCCTTCGAGCATTCATCCATTGGTTGGTGTAATAAGTTACCGTAGAAGATAAAATGCTTTATTCTTTCTTAGTGACGAGTTATTTGCAAGCTGCTAGAAGGAATATTTTGAAGCTCTTTTTGTTTTAGAATACTAACGACGCTCAGTTCTTATCTAGCAATCATTTTAGACTGATAAGGTTCACCAGCTTACATTTCAGTAACAGACACAAACTAACGGCCACGAATCTATTATGCAAGTGAAATATTTGGAAGTGTTGTTGATGAAAATGTCAGTTTTGAGAATTGGTGACAATTTCAAATTGAATGTTGGAGTTAACTCTTCGTACACATCTTTTGACATCAAGTGCCATTTATTGTTTTATCCAAGAAGATGAAATTCGTAGTTCAGGAGTGATTTTGCATTTCTGAATAACTGAGTTCCTGCCACTAATTCTAAACCTGGCATTACTTCTGATTGCATCATCCTCTCTACTTAATGTGTTTTGCTACTGCTTGTTATTGTTGGTTACTGTTTCCTGTTCTATCCAAGGAGATGACAATCGCAGTCCAGAAGTAATTTTGTATTTTCGATCCAAGAAGATGACCCAATCCAAGTACACATTTTTCACCTTTACGACCTTGTTGCTGGGCATTAAACGTCAGGCCACTTGTCATTGACAAGACAAAGTCGTAATGAATCGTCGTTTCTGCTCCTCGGTTATGAACATCCAGTTCAAGTTTGTCATAAGTGCTCATGCAAGACAAAATCTTCCATCTTTTCACCATAAACAGTAAATAGTTCAGCCGAAATTGAATTATTAATGCGATTTTCATTTCATTCTGCTGTTCAAAATCTTTTTGGAAGCAACTACTGAAGGACATAAGTTGTTGTCTCATTTGAAGAGACTGCTTTAGCTACCGGAAGTACAGGCTATTTATTACTAAGCTACTTCAGTCCCTCCGTTAACATCTTTGCATTCGGATTGACTTCTGCAAAAGAATATTTGATATCTGATCCTCCTGTCCGTTATGCTTTATCTAATCACGCGGATATATACATAACCGGTGGAAGATTACCTTTTTATACCACACCCCTCTTTCGACAATCCAGCACAAGGGTAACAATTGAACTGTACCGATGAGTGTATCAAATTCTCTCTATCTAAACAGATTCAATTTGTTCTCAAAGGGAAATTGAATTTATGCATCATTGTCCTCTAGGATTTCATTTTCATTCTAATTTTTTCATCTCCATCATGAAAAGTGTTGTATGTGTGTGTGTGTGTGTGTGTGTGTGTGTGTGTGTTGTGTGTGTGTGTGTGTGTGTGTGTGTGTGTGTGTGTGTGTGTGTGTGTGTGTGTGTGTGTGTGT